AGGTCTATGTTTAGCAAAGTTTTTAAGTCTGCGTATGTAGTACCTTTATTCTGTTTCTTTTTTCCTCCTGTACTCTGGAGAATCAAACCGATTTCTAATTCTTCTGTATTCTTGAAGTTTACAAGTCTTCACATGAATCCTTTTGCCAGTCTATGAAACTAGCTTTGAAATATTGGGAATGAATTATGAAGAACTGCATAAAACTTACATCTTTAGAGGATTCAGAAAGTGAAAAGCAGCGGAGATACAGAAAACAGAATACAGAATATGTATAAAAGACACAGCGAAACAAAACTGATAAAAGTAAGGCATTGACAGCGTCGAATACTTTACTTCCTTTCCTCTGAATATAACTTATTTAACACTCTGACAACTCTGAAATTCCTATTCACCTCTAGATCCTGCTGCCATCAGCATTACTGAAGGAACCACCAATTATAGTCAATTTGCTGCTGCATGCTGTCAACCAGCAAATAAGGCTCCGTTACACCGTTTTACCCATAAGAACTTTTGAACTTCTCGCTGAAACATATGTCTTGCTGCTATCGCTTAAAACCATTCGAGCAGAAAAGAGAATCCATACAGTTCCCAAAAATTCCAAAACTTTTAGACAGTACTTTTTATGCAACTGCCACCTTACTGAGTACCTTCATGGCGTTTAGCAACACCGCTCGAAAAAGATTTGTGCTTCCGATCAGCACACCCCAACACGACCTAATACCGAACAAATTTTGCTCCCTTCGGAGCGTTCAAAAATTGCCAACGACATCCATTTTTCAGGAGTCGCGGCGGGCAATTGGGTGAAAGTTTTCAACCAGCAATAAACGCACCTCGGCTAAGCCTCATTGGTCACGTTACCGCCTCTGCGCAAAGCTGACATGGCAGCGCGCCCCCTGCATGCTATTCTATGTATCAGCAAACTTTCGACGGGTTTGATACATTTGAATCTGTTGGCAGCGTTCTCCCGCAGTCTTGTCCCAACGCAGAATGATGGCATAGCAGAAAATACTCGCGTAAATGTAGTTTCATAGGCGTTTCACCTATACATTTATATCGGTTATTGCTGCTTGCTAATGTATTATACGTCGCACAATTTTCAAAAAAAGCTAAGACTTTTCAATCACCTTTTTCCTGCATGAGAATCTTGAATTTGAATTGGGAGTGTTTGCTACTTTATTTTGTCTGAAGATTTTTGATTCAGTACACTTGCTGTGAGTCATTGGAGAAGAAACTTATTTCAGACATCTACAGAATCAGTAAATACTTCCGTATAAGTTAGCTCATTTGCTTAATTTTTTTGTGTTTTCTCTAGAAACACGGATTTCCCATAGTTTTTTAAAATACAAACTTACAGTTAATTTCTGCTTTACGCCGTTAAATGTTAGGTGTACTTGTCTAATTATGTTTAGAAGCGGCGACGAGTAAATGCCGACAGTTAAAATACTTCTGTAAATGATTCGGGAAAGTGTGTTACGTATTAATTTGGTGTTGCGGTGGTCAGAAAGGAAGCAGGTTAAAGAGCCATTAAATTAAAAAGGTTGAACACTTGATGAACTCCGTAAACAACTTTTTTATTCTGTAAATATAGAAAGAATTTTTTCAATCTGCTATATACGTCAGTTAACGTTATTGACTATTCAAGAACAAGTTTTTTTCAATGAGAAGTAATAAGCTTCAAGTAAAGCGGATAATAAATTATGAATTTTTAGTATTTAATTTAAACAACTTTGGGAGGAGACAAGTGTAACAATAATATTTATGGTTTCATATAAATTGTACTTCTTTATTGAAATGCAATTATTACTCGTTATACCTGATTTTTCGTAGTGGTTTTGATCTTTTATAGCGGCATTTGCTCAGCAGGATAATTTTTGCACAGAATGCATCAACTTTTCTAATTCACTAAACAGTTTTCAAAAATTTCATCTGGTTATTCTAAGCAGATATCAAATACGTTTGTCTTATAAAGTAGTAAATGTGCTCAAATTTGTAAGTAAAATATCACTTTGGACGGCATTTCTAACTAGCTTAGAAAACTAGAAGAAAACATCTTTTTAAATACTTAAGTGGGATGCAGATCAGCAATAGCAAGTTTGTATCCAATTTCGAAATGACCAACTCTACTTCAAAATAGTTGCTAATAGTTTGAATTAGGGCCGAAAAAAGTCACAAAACTATTCTTGCTGCTTTCACTTTTGTGTAAAACTTTTTTTTTTTGTGCAAGTCTTAATTATTATTTAATTTGCTAGACAGACAAAGAGACCCGGAATAAAAAGACATGTGCTTTTATATAAACCTGAAACTGTTTTCCCTTGCTGAGGAACGGCAGGAATGAGGAATCTAAAGCACACTTTGGTTGTACGAAAGCTTGCGGAACTTTTTTCATTGATAAAGCAAAAACTAGTTTGGAATTAACCTCTCTAAGTGTTTCTTCCTCAAATATCTACAACTTTACAAGGTAGGATCAAAAGCCGGGATTACAACAGTGCGCACGGCTGGCGTACTCTTCATTCATTTCGAAACTACCCGCGAAAATACTGCCAAAAAGATATACATGTCTTTTGGAACAATTCCAAGGGGTCGGATATAACGCTTGTTACGAACATGGTCTGAAAAGTTCTTGAGTGTTCACGACTTCCGTTCTAGAGAGATCCTGTGGTCTTCGAAAATTTCCAGAAACGAGCGATTGAACTGTATGAGTCTGACTAAGGGTAACCTATCGATTTCTTGACTTACTTGCTACTATTTGCAGCTATGCTGTGTTTCGTGTAGAAGCCTGCTACAGTTCTGCAAAGTTTTTCGTCTATTAGGGGCATTCATTCCAAAACCAACCTATGCTTGTTGGGATGCTCCAAGAACGGACTATTCTACTGAGTTGCATTAATTAGGAGTCATTGGTCGATTTTCTGGGTAATGTGCATTTCTTTGTGTTTTTTCCTTCTTTATGTTTTCAGAAAAGTTTTCATCTGTTCGTTCCGGAACTGCTCTGTGTTTGTTAGAAAGTTCTGAGGACCGGCTAGTCACCTCTGTTGGTTTAGTTAGGGAGTCGCGAGTTTTTTTTTGATTTGTTCTTTCCCCCTTTTTTTTGATTTTTACTTAGTATTTTAAAATGTCGCCTACAATACAAAGGTGTATTGGGTAAATTTTTTGTTCTGCTAGCTTCTTTATTCTTTTTTGACTTCTCTTTAAAATTTTTGCGGAAAGTAAGCTAATTAAAGGTTATTTTAACTCTGTTTTTACTTTTTTGCTTTGTTCTTTATCATCATTTTTATTAGTGGTGATGGAGGGGTATGTTGAAAACGTTTGCGCTTTTTTTGCTTAACTTATGCTAGTGGGTTTCATGCTTACATCAAATTTTTCGTTGACTCAAACTGGTGTAACTTAGAATATCTTAGCCACTTCTGCTGTCAATCTATGATTAGCAATGCGTTGTTTGTCAAGGAGAGTATAGGAAACTCTTCTATTGCGCAGTGAAAACTTCCAAAACTGCTGGGAAAAGTAGTTGTCGAGAAAAAAAAACAGTCAAACAGCATTGCTAACGGCATCCAGAATTTTACTTCTAAAGCTGAAGACAGTTTTTGCATAAAAATATCCATAAATTTTTTGAAAAAGTGACGGATTTGAGACAGGTCTGACGCTTGCAACGACAGTTACAGTAATTAACACAAAAAGTGGCTTCCAAAGTTATTTTATTCAGTTCTTGGTGTGATCTAGCAACAAGATGCAATTTTAAGCGCTGGAAAGTTTTGGCTATACCGTTGTGTAATTCTTCATCTTCCCGTCTTTCTTCATCTACAAAAAAAAAAAATTTATGACAGCAAAAAATTTATTCATTCTTTGTTCATATTTCTCACCTTCTTCTTAGTTTTTAACCCCGTTGTAATCTTCCTAATGGCGGCTGCTACAGAATTTTCTCCAATTTTCAAAGAATTTCCTCTTGTAGAAAATCATAACCTTATTGGTTGTGTTACTGTAGCTATAATACAGTTTGAACTGCTTCAAGTTGTCTGGAGATGACATGTGAATTTTAGTGTAGAATTCATGTAGTTTATTGGCTGTTACTCTTTTATATACTCATAGTTACAGCAGTGTTAAATGAGGAAGAGATCGGCTGTAGAATTCGGTGTTTAACAAAAGTTTGGCGAGAAAACTGTGCAGATTTAGAACATCATAATTGATTGGTTTGCTTTAACTTCGTTCAAGAAAGCGATCATTGCTGGGCAGTACCGAAGAAAAGAAACAAGAAGTTGTTGGTTTCAAAGTGATCCTCAACCGATTTTTTTTTTTGCAAGTGGAAAATTTATATTATCGTTTTAAATATTTTCTAAATTTAAATCATTTGCTTTTTTGTTTCAAAACCATACCAGCAAATTTTTGAGGCAACATTTTTCAGTTCATCTAAACTGAACAATGTTTGTGTACTTTTGCGCAAGATTATACAGAAAAGAATAAAAAAATATGTATAACGAAGATAAAAATTTAAATAGTACTAAAAATATAACAAAATTTAAGTAGTACAATATGCAGTACACTGAGATGTTATCAAAACTAAAAAAAAATTAGTTTTGCTTTTTGCCCTCCAAAACTGCTTTGTCCGCTTGAGTGTCAGCCGATGGTCACCACAACATACGATAAGCGATGGTTCAAGTTCAAGAGAAGAAAAATGTCACGAAAATTAGTATGGCATAAGTGACTACAAGAATCCAGCCAAAAACCTAAAAAATTTCTTCTTGAATTGAATAGATAGCTTCTCAAGATGTACTCGGAGCTTTACAATTGATCAGTTGAACATAAAGTGATACAGCTACATTGGAAAAACAATTTTTCTACACTTACATTATTTTTGTAAAAAAGAACAGGAAAGAATTTTAAGGCCAAAACTTTTTTGACAACGATTTTTGGCCAAATTACAAAAATTTTTTTTACTAGCTAGCCAACAGTAAAGCGGAAAAAGAAAATTTAGGTTAATCAGCATTTTATATTACAGAATAAATTTAACGTTTTAACTGTGTAATAAACCGAAACTTACAGTAACAATAACAAATCTAGGATAATATAAATGATAATTTTCACGATGTGCTTTTGTTGAATACCACGATTCCAACGCTGATGCGATTATCATTGTTGCACAGCAAACACAATAAACAATTATAAGCTGAAACACTGTTATTAGTCTTAAAATTTCCAACAATAATACATTCAATTAGTAGTCACTTTGTAGATCAAAACAAAGAAGAATGAGTAAGTAACAGTGTGCTGTTAAGGCAGTATCAACATTCAATACTACCTTATTAGCAAATTGTTTCTCACAGTGTCGTCTTTGGTTTTGTAAACTATGAATTTAGAGAGCTATTTCAACTTTTTATTAGTTCTGTTGTGATAATTACAGAAAAAAAAAGAGAAAAAAACTTGCTTGTTTAATAGTGTCTCATCAACAACGTAATCTTATGCTAAGTTTATCCAAATTTTGCTTTGGTATTTGGAGAAAAAAATGCTGCTTTGATGCGGTATTGTAACAATGCTAAAATACTACCAGCCACCTTATAGCACAGACTTTTCAGCAAGCAGCAGGGCAAATATTTATCAGCTATGAAAAATGTAAAAGATTATATAAGTTTTTGCTAAGGACAGCCTGTTTTTGGCGGATTCAGATGATTTTTCTGAATTCCTTAGTAAAAGTTCTGAAACAGCGTAGCATGAATTTTGCATAAGATAAGGGTAAGTCTATTTATTCTTTAATATCTCACTGTACCTGAATAATAATGCGAAAGAAAAGCAACTCTAAGAAGAAACTGTATTATAGAAAAAAAAGAGAAACAAACGAAACGATAAGGAGAAGTTTGCAAAAGTCAGTTAAAAATTTTAACGAAAAACTTAACCCAGAAATATTTTGAATCATAAGCAGTCAAAAAAAAAGCGAGTTAAGTAAAAAAAACAATGACCAGAAATTTTAAAAGTGAACAGTTTGGTGGCAAAATTTAAACAATCAATTAGACCTGTTTGGAAGAAATTATTCAAAAATGTTTATTCAAATCTGATGCCTGTTATGTCTGATTAAAAACACTTACTTTAAATTTGCCAAGTTCATTAATAAACTCTCGACCAGATGTTTGACTTATCAAAATAGACATAGAGACGATAAAGCTGAGCAGAAGAAAAGCTATTACTAATGTTTGCCAACCATAACCTTTGTAGCCCAATTGGATATATACGTTTGTGTTGTCCCAAATGAATGACGATGCAAATAAGGCTCCGAAGCCCAGCAGCTGAAAAAAAAGGGAAAAAAAGATACTATGCTGTACACAAAGTACTTTTGAGCATAAAAACTTTAAAAGAAATATTCCTCCAAAACACAGTTGAAATGTTTCATTGAATTTGGTCGTTTAAGATAACCTAAATGAGAACCAGAAAGTTTTTTTTTTTTTAAACAACGTGATCAGATAGTACTGCATATCTTTTGTTTAATTTTTAAGCAATCCAATTATGTGTAACGATTCGTTCAATCAGTATCATGAGGTTTTCAAATTGGAAAAGTGTACTGAATGATTTCTACTGTTTTGATATCAGATTTCCTACTCGTCATTTACAGCGATAATGCTCAGTTAAGGTTAGGTAAAATATTTCTGTAAAACAATAATCTTACAGCTTGAAATGTGGTGATCAAGCCGTGAACAGATCGCAGATAGTCTGAACCCATTGTTCTCAAATAATAACAACTAACAAAAATATCTGAAAACAACAGAAAACTTTAATAGTTAATCATTTTTGAACAAACGTTTACGCAAATTCGTCTCGAAACACCTTTCACATATACACAAATAAATGTTAAATTTATAACTAAACACGGCAAAAGAGTTGCAATTTTTAAATTCAATGTAGCTTAAAATCACAAATTTACTTTTTTAAAAAATAATCGCCAATTTTTTTTTACGTTTTTTCACTTTTGTTAATCCAAAATAAATTCTAAATATGCAATAAATTCAAAATTAGCAGTTAACAACAAAATAAATATTGCGATTATTGGCCACAAATACTGAACAAATTGAATGGTATATGTGTCGGAAATTGCAAATTAATGATCAGAACTGAAGAAAGCTGTCGAAATCTAATCGTATCTCATATTATCTTCAAAAATTTGATCACATATTTGAATAAAGAAGAAAAAATTTTACAGATAAGGTGACAGAAACTGTTTGCCTCTTTACCATTGCATTATTTGATAAAAACCGATAACTACTGAATAATAATAAAACTGTGGTCTAACTTAATTGTTTTTAGAATGGTTAGCAGCAATAACTTTTATCAATAACCAATATAGTTTTAGACTGTCAATAAGTCGGTGTCTTTAGAAATGTGCAACAAATCATTCAGGTCATCATCCAGTTCCAAGGTTTTTATGCACTGCAAACTTCGATAGGAACAAACTACTGATAAGCATACTTTCATCAAAGTTTTATTTGCTTTTAAGTACTTTGGCACAGATGGAATGCAGTGTTAACTATTTAAAATATTTTGTTTTTTCACATAAAATCGATCATCAAAAAATTTGGTATTTTTTTTTTCTGTTTTCCTGTTGAGCTATAATATTTGTTAGTAAATAAAAGCTTTTCAACTACCAAATTCACTAATAGTGTAATAAAGAATATATCCAATACACTGCACATATTTATATACAAACAGTCTTATCCAGTATCCGCCTTGAGTTAGCATTTTTGCTTTATATATATATATATATATATATATATATATATATATTGTCAGAACAGCAAAAAATATCGTTAATAGCGATAGAAATGTGTCTTAAACGTTTTGAGAGTTTCAAACATTGACACAGAAAAAGTTTAGCAATAAAATTAAATGAGTAATTTGCAGCCGTTTTTTGAACATTATATACCATATATAAAATATAACGACAAAGATACATTAC